TGCATGTGCTTGGAAGGTGGTGCACCCCAATTCCACGGGAACAGAAGTTCCTGCTCCCTGGACCACTGCAAACCTCATCCTATGTGTCTCTTCATCTGGCTGTTCATCTGTACCCTTTATTAAATAAAAAACCGGTTAACATAAGTGTTTCCTTGAGTTCTACAAGCCATTCTAGCAAATTATCAAACCTAAGGAGGAGGTCACAGGATCCCTGATTTATAACCAGTCCTCCAGAAGTTTAGATTACAACCTGGAATTTTGATTGGCGTCTGAAGCCAGGGGCGAGGGTGGGGGGCAGTCTCGTGGGACTGAGCCCGTAACCTGTGGGGTCTGTACTAACTCTAGTTAGTGTCAGAATTGGATTAAATTATACGACATGCAGCTGGTGTCCCAGAGAATTGCTTAGTGTGGAAAACCCATGCATTTGGTGTCAGAAGTATTGTGGGTATGAGAGTAAAGGAGAAACACAGGAGTGTTTTTCTCATATATGTCCCCTAAAAATGATATTGAAGTCCTAAGCCCAGCACCTCAGATTGTGACATTATTTGGAAATAGGGTCTTTACAGAGGTAATCAAGTTATAATGAAGTCATTAGGGTGGGCTCTAGCCCAGCCTGACTGGTGTCCTTATAAAAAGGGGAAACAGACACGTAGATAGCCATGCAAAGAGGGAAGAGGATGTGAAGAGACACAGGGAGAACACCATGGGAAAACTGGAGCGATGCAGCCACAAGCCAGAGAACATCTGGAGATTCCAGAAGCTACAAGAGTCAAGGAAAAGATCCTCCCCTACAGGTTACAGAAGGAGCAGGGCCCTGCTGACACCTTGATCTCAGACTTCTAGCCTCCAGAGCTGTGAGACAATACATTTCTGTTGTTCTGGGCCACCCAGTTTGTGTGATTTTGCTACAGCAGCCTTGGAAACTAATACAGAATGTCAGCTTGAGACTCAAAATTATCTACCACAGTAAGGAGCACAGAAATAGCAGAAAATTGGGCTTCCCTGGTGGTGCAGTGGTTGAGAATCTGCCTGCTGATGCAGGGGACACGGGTTCGAGCCCTGGTCTGGGAGGATCCCACATGCTGCGGAGCAACTAGGCCCGTGAGCCACAACTACTGAGCCTGCGCGTCTGGAGCCTGTGTTCCGCAACAAGAGAGGCCGCGATAGTGAGAGGCCCGCGCACCGCGATGAAGTGGGCCCCGCTTGCCACAACTAGAGAAAGCCCTTGTACAGAAATGAAGACCCAACACAGCCAAAATAAATAAATTAATTAATAAACTCCTACCCCCAACATCTTCAAAAAAAGAAAAGAAAGAAAAAGAAATAGCAGAAAATTTCGAATTAGGCATGAGCATGAATTTTAGGCCAGAAAAAGGTCATTTTTCAGTGCCTGCTGTAGACAAGGCCCCTTGCAACCTGCAGCATGCTGTCCTTGAAAGGCCATGGGCCCAGGTTAGAGACCTGGGTTTGGGATCCAGGCTGTATCTCTATTAGGCTGTGTGGTCTTTGGCCAGTAACTTAGCTTTGGGTGTCTCTGTTTTCTTAACTGTCAAATGGGTATAATAATCTACTTAATCATGAGAATTAAATGCAAATGCATGCATATGAAAATGAGCACCAGTTAAAGTTCTATCTATATGTGCTCTTAGGCTTTGGTATTTGCAATCCCATTTCCTATTCTCCCCATTTTAAGTGATGATGAAATGGAGGTCCAGAAATGGTTTAAAAAAAACAAAAACTTTTTTAGGTTACACAGCACCTTAGAGTGCTCAATAAATATTAATTCCTATTTAAGAGTGACTCTTAAACATGTCATATCATGTATTATTATGCCCATTTTTACAGATGAGGTAACTGAGGCTCAGAGAAGCTAAGTTATGCCCAAGGTCACAGAAAAGTAGAAATTCCTACTCAGATCTGCCTGCTTCCAACACTGCAGGTGACAGTCTGGGCAAATTCAATAATCTTCAGTCCTGGGCCTGAAGGGAAGAGGGTGAGCACCAGTGATTTCCTAAGGCCTTGTAGGTTCTTTTTTTTAAAAAAGTATTTATTTATTTACTTATTTATGGCTGCGTCGAGTCTTAGTTGTGGCATGCGGGCTCCAGAGCGCATGGGCTCTCTAGTTGCAGCACCTGGGCTTAGTTGTTCTGCGGCATGTGGGATCTTAGTTCCCCGACCAGGGATTGAACCCATGTTCCCTGCTTCGGAAGGTGGATTCTTAACCACTGGACCACCAGGGAAGTCCCAGGCCTTGTATGTTCTTACTCACTGTTATTCAGGTAGGAGCTGTTATCTGCAACTACTTTCATCCAGGCTCAGTACTTCAGAATAGCGCCTTGGAGCATCCTAGCTATGGCCTCAGGGGAATTCCCTTGCAGTCCAGTGGTTAGGACTCCTTCACTGCCGAGGCCTGGGTTCAATTCCTGGTCGGGAACTAAGATCCAGCAAGCTGCTGGTGTGGCCTTAAAAATAAATAAATAAATAAAAAAGGCTATGGCCTCAGAAGACTTAGGTACCAGGTCGCACATCCTTCATCTTCCCATAGAGGGGAGAAGGGCACACCCTGGTTGTGACAACCAAAAAAAAAAAAAATCTCCAGACATTGCCAAATGCCCCCCTGGAGGGAAAGGATGTCACTTGGAGAAACTCTCATCTTCTGGAAGAATGAAGAAACAAAATATATCAGGTGAGATCTGGATTAAAACAGTCCTATATGCAAATTGCAACTCTACCAATTATGATTTTGGGTAAATTACTTCATTTCAGCCTTACCCAGCTTCCCCATGTATAAACAAGGAATATATACCTACCAAATAGGGTTTTGATAAAGATCAGAAGAAGCATGCCAGGCACTTTGCAGAGTATATGGTAAGCACTTAATATATGGCAGCTATTAACATTGTTCCCATAGTTGAGACTGTAAGTATTTCCTCATGTCCTTCACTTATTCATGCAACAAATATTCAGTAACTGGTGTCTGTGTGCCAGGTCTTTCTTAGTAAGCCCTACCTGAATTTTTCTTTCTCAAAACCTTATCTGGTATGTACTATTACCATCTCTATTTATTCTGTGTGAACAGCACTTTTAATGCCAGCATAATATTCCATCATGTCTATTTTGATTCCTGGCCCTGGCCTCCTTTTTGAGGTCCAGACCCATACATCTACCTGGATGTCCCCCAGGAATGTTAACGGCATGTTTGGCCAATTAGCCCAGTGCCTAGCACCTAGCAAGCCCTCCATAAAAATGAGCTATTACTGGCCATCAGTGTCATTTTTAGCCCCTGCTGATCCACCTCCTCTTGCTACTCCTCAGTGGGGTCTCAGAGTCACTTCTTTTCTGTCAGCAGTCTTGGCCCTGGGTTAAAGCCCTGATTTGTTGTCCCTGTGGGGAGCCCATAGGAGAATCCAGCCTGGTTTTCCCACCTGCAGGGAAGAACTGAAGCAATGAAAATAGACACTCCCACGCTAATCAGAGTGCCCTAAACAGCCAGTTTGGTGGGGAGAATTTGCTAGCAGTAGGCAAGACATAAAGTTCCCCCACAGCAGCCTGGCAGCCTTGCTGAGTGTGCCAGCAAATGATTCCTGGGGCCTGGCTGGTGCTTCACGGGCACCACCAGGGCCCATGGAAAAGAGCTAATTTATGCTATTAGTATAGTTACATAAACAGTGTCTGCTGAGTGTTCCAAAACTGTATTTCATGGTCTTGGGGCCAGAACAGGGAGGAGCAATTTAGAAGCCACCACCAGGGAAGCAGAGCAGAGTAGAGGTAATACCAACAGCCTCTGGGTGAGACAGGCCTGGGTTTGGGTTCCAGCTTTGCCCCTCACTAGTTGGGTGATAGCCAGCAAGTAGCTCTGTCATGCTGAGCTTCTATTTCTTCACCTGTAGGGTTGGGGTGATGCTAATGATAGTTATTCGTGGAATGCTTCTTGATCAACCATTCAGGTATTCAACCATTGAGAGTTATTCAAAAATAGGATTTTTTTTTTTAATACACAAAGTTATTCTTCCCCACCTCACACACACACACACACACACACACACACACACACGCACACATGCACACACACACATCCATATTAACCCTTGATGACATTAAAAAAATAAACAGTACACGTATATGATCTGAAATAAATTGGAAATCACACCGTATAAAATGAAAAATGCTTTTTTTTTGGTCCGGGCAGTGGGTTGCGGGATCTTAATTCCCCGACCAGGTATTGAACCCGGGCCCTCCGCCGTAAAAGTGCGGAGTCCTAACCACTGGACCGCCAGGGAATTCCCCCAAAATACTTTCATTAAAAAAAAAAAATCTACAAAAAGAGCAATTTCATAGGATTCAACCTAATATGACCAGCCGCCGTTCTAAAGCTTTATAGTCCTCAACAAGCCCATGACGTAGGAACAATTATTACCCTCTCCCTCGGTAATAATAAGAATTTCTCCTAAAGAGAAGAAGGACTTGGAGGGAAAGTGCCGGCTACCTAAACGGCCTCCACAAGTGATTTGAAAGTTTGAGAAACAGAGGTCAGTACATGTAATTAATTAAGTGCTAAACAGGACTATCCGCCTGATGTCCGAAACACGATCCCCTGGGGGGCCACACGCGGCGCAGACTTGGTCCGAAGGGCAATCCCTCGCGGTACCAGGGGTGACCCGTCTCTCTCGCCCCGGAACGAGCCTCTACGTGTTTTCCCGGGAAAGGCGAGCCGGGCTCCGCCACCTCAACCAGTCTTGCTAGAGTAGGTTTATCCCTGCGAACAAAAGCATTCGGAGAGACTGCCGCCTCAGCCACTCAACGCCGAGCCCAGGCCGGCGCCTCCAATTAGATCCGAACTTCCAATTGGTGAAGTTTTGTTGAAGAAGGTGGGACAGAGCGGGAAAGTTCCCCCTCCCTCGGGGTTCTCAGCCAACCGCGGCGTCGGGGCGGCAGCCGCCGAGTTCGGTTGCACCGCGTGTAGTGATCTCGGGGGCCCGAGGGCGGGGCGGGGCGGGGAGCTGGCCGGGGGCTGCGGGGAGGGGACGCTTCCCGCGGGCACGCGGAGTGAAGACGGTGACAGCCACGCGCGCACGTGCGTGCCCGGCTTGCAGCGCGGCCCCGACACCTCCCTCGGCGGCTGAGAAGCGCGCGGGGTCTGGGCCTCCGGCGTCCAGGGGCCCCGTCCCCGGGCGTCACCAGCGTCCCCGGCCCGAGTCCCGGAGAGCCGGGCCGTGCCCGCCCCGTCGGTCCCCGATCGCGATCCCTTCCCGTGGCCGTCAGGGTTCGCCCGCCAACTCCCGTTTCGGTTCCCGGGGCAGGGTCCTCGCGGTCCATGCTGGCCGCTGGGGGCCCGCGCCGCTCAGCCAGCTCCCGGGCCGGCCGGCCGGCCACCATGGTGGCCCTGAGGCCTGTGAGGCTCCTTCAGGGAGGCTAAAAGGTCCAGAGCGCAGGCCTCGGGGCGCGAGGGTCCCGAACCTGAGCCCCGCGCCATGGCCGGGGCCATCGCTTCCCGAATGAGCTTCAGCTCGCTCAAGAGGAAGCAGCCCAAGACGTTCACAGTGCGGATCGTCACCATGGACGCGGAGATGGAGTTCAATTGCGAGGTAACTGGCTGCAACGGGCTGCGGCGAAGGGGAGCGCGGCGGGATCCGGCCGGGTGCTGGTCCGGCACCGACGCGGACGCCCTTGCCGCGGTGACAGTGGAAGTGGAAGCTTCGGGATTCTGTTTATATCAGCTCTGGGCAAAGATAGAGTCAACCAGAACTGGAAGGGGCCATCTAGGCCCAAATCCTCATGTTAAAGATAATCGCTGCTTTTTTTCAATGGGGTTTTCGGGTTTGGAAGCACTTCCTGAAGGTTTTCATTCATTGTTACTGCAAGAGTCTGAAAGCATTCGTGGTAGCGAATTCTAGTTTTCAGTGTCACGCTTAAGCTCCAGCTCTATAGAGTTTAAACTTTATTAGATAATATTATGTACCCCAGATATTATAAGTTGCCTCTCGTTTTATTGGAAAGTCTATAGTGCTTGTTTCCCTTTTTCACAGCTTAAATTTTCTGGGAAAAAAACAAAACAAAACTTTGAGGAAAGAGACGGTGTCTTAAACTTTCCATACAGTTTCTATCATGATGGTAACAGTTATCATTTATTGAATACTTCCTAAATGCCAGATATTCATACACTTAATTCTCAAAACAACTCAGTGAGGTAGATACCCCAAACCATATATCTAGTAAATGGCGAAGGGGGGTTTTGATTCAAGACCTTAGCCAATACAGTACTGCCTCTCAAGTAGTTTAAGTCCTTGCTACTCAAAGTGTGGCCTGTGGACTAGCAGCATTGGCAGCAGTAACCTAAGTCAGGGGTTGGCAAACTTTTTCTGTAAAGGCCCACATAGTAAATATGTTCAGCTTTGCCGGCTTTAGGGTCTCAGTTGCAACTACTCAACTCAGCTCTACCATGGTAGCACAAAAGCAACCTTAGACAGGATCAACTTCCAGCATGACAGGGTGAGGAACTCCACTGACCTGGTTCCCTGTAAACTGGTAAAACATTAAAAAAAAAAACCAATTTAAACCCTCTGGAAATTGTCCTAAGGGCAAACATCAAGTGAAGAAACAGCTACTCAAGAAAATCTATGAAAATTCAGTAAGAAAGGCAAGAGTTTGTGGTATTTGTTTTTGTTTTGGCCGAGAGGCATAAGGGATCTTAGTTCCCTGACCGGGGATCGAACCCACGCCCCTACAGTTTAAGCATGGAGTCTTAACCACTGGACTGCCAGGGAAGTCGCGAGAGTTTGTGGTATTTGAAGGAAGACCACTACTACCGTCCCTGCTCCCAGCTCTCAACAACGGCTGCAACCCAGTACACTAGGCTCCCTCTCCCCCTAGCTCCCAGTCAGACAGCTTTCTTCCCAGGAGGAGCATGACTTTAGGGCTTCTCCTGCCCAAGGCTACTTGCTGCTGAGGCTAAATCCTGGTTGAGTGAAGCTGAAAGATGGGGCTTCCTTCCTTCACCCAGCTCCTACTTATGGAATGGAAGCTGTACTCTGGGCATGGCCCACCGAGAGTACTGGGGTCCCATTTGCTCTATCCCCATCCTCGGTTTGTGAGATGGTGGTACCAGCCAGGAGAGGCAAACTGAGAAGACCTCAGGCTAGTGTGTCTCCCCCTCCCCACTTCTATCAAGAGCTCAGAGATTTTGCCTGGAGGGAGAAGCAGGCTCATAATCTCTTCCCAGAAAGTAGTGACTTCATTTGCAGTAGAGTGTGGAGAAATTTATGCCTAAGGGTGCTTTCAAGAACTGTGGAGGTTTTAGTGAAAGGCAATTGGGAGGAGATTTGTGGATTTAATAAAGATACAGCCTAGACTGTAAGCCAGCTAGTTTGCAGGAGAGAATAAGACAGCTGGGAAGAGCCCTCCTGGGGTCAGGACAAATATCAAACACTAATCTCAAAAGAGCCACCTTTTGATTGGATTACTTTATAGAACAAGTTATGCCCCAGGGCATTATTGAAAATAATAGAATAATATACCACAATTAGTGGAGTTTAACAGTTGGGTGTGACCAGGGAAAGAGAGGGAGAGTCCTACTAAGACCACTGTCATCTTGGGTGACTTTGGGCAAATCCAAAGATATGTCTTCCTGAGGAGCAACATCATAGGCCTTAACACTGTGACAGGGGAAATAGAGTTCACTAAAACAGTCCAGCCAGTCACTAAACAAATAAACAAGCAAATAACAGTAACCAGCCCGGTTGGGTTGGGGGGAACCACTCCCTAGAGTTGCTGTAAATATGTTCACAGAACTAAAAGAAAGCATGATTAAGAAGGAAGGTATAATGACATTTTTGCATCAACTAGATAGTATCAGTAAAGCGATATGAATTATAAAAACAACCAAATTAAAATCCACGGGTTCGAGCCCTGGTCTGGGAAGATCCCACATGCTGTGGAGCAACTAAGCCCGTGTGCCACAACTCCTGAAGCCCGGGTGCCTAGAGCCCGTGCTCTGCAACAAGAGGAGCCACTGCAATGAGAAGCCTGCACACCACAACAAAGAGTAGCCCCCGCTCACCACAACCAGAGAAAGCCCGTGTACAGCAACAAAGACCCAACGCAGCCAAAATAATAAAATAAATTAAATTAATTAATTAAAAAAAATTCTGGAATTAGAAAATACAATGACTGAAATAAAAAATTCACTAGAGGGGCTCAAGGTAGATTCCAACAGGCAGAAGAAATAATTAGTATACTTGAAGATAGATTGATAGAGATTATGTAAGGTGAAGAGTAGAGAGAAAAAGAATGAAGAAAAATGTACAGAGCCTCAGAGAAATGTGAGGATCATTCAGTGCACCAACATGTGTAATGGGACTACCAGAGGAGAGGAGAGAGAAAAAATATTCCAAAAAAATTGGCTGAAACTTCCTAAATTAATTGAAAAACAATAACCTGTATATTCAGGAAGCTCAATGAACTCCAGGGAGGATAAACACAAAGAGATTCACAGACACATCATGGTAAAAATGCTGAAAGTCAGACAGGGAGAAAATCTGGAAAGCAACAAGAGAAAAATGATTTGACACTTATAAGGGAACCCCAATAAGATTAACAGCTAACTTCTCAGCAGAAGCTGTGGAGGCCAGAGGCAGTGGGATAACATTCAAAGTGCTCAAAGAAAAAACTTGTCAACTAGGAAACCTATCTCCAACATAGCTGGATATAAATGAAAAGGACATTTCAAAAACAAAGTTAAATAAAGAATTTCCCAGATAAACAAAAGCAGAGACTTTGTTGTTTAAAGACCCATCTTACAAGAAATATTAAAGGAATCTTTTTAGGCCTAAAGCAAGTGACCCCAGATAGTAATTCAAATCCACGTGAAAAAATCAAAGAGCACCAGTAAATGTAATAACATAATTATAAAAGACAGTATAAATGTATATTTTCCTCCTTTTAACTGATTTTAAATGCAATTATATAAAATAATTTGTATATAATATACAATAATATTTGTATATACTATATTGTTGGGCCTATAACATGGAAATGTAATATATGTTTAATAGGTGTGCCAATTACAGTACAAAGGAGGTGGGTGAAAACCAAGCTGTAATAGGCTAAGGAAATGATTACAGATGGTAAAGTAATAACTACAACAATGTATTGCTGGGTTTGTAACTTTAATAGATATAGTATACAATAATTATAATACTATAAAAAAGGGGGAAGGGAACAGAACTATGTAGAATAACATTTCTATATAATCGCTGCAGTTAAGCTAGTATAAATCTGAAGCTGATTCTTTTTTTTTAATATATATATATTTTTTAAAAATTTGTTTAATTATTTACTTTTTGGCTGCATTTGATTTTCATTGCTGTGCGTGGGCTTTCTCTACTTGCAGTGAGCTGGGGCTACTCTTTGTTAAGGTGCGCGGGCTTCTCATTGCAGTGGCTTCTGTTGTTGTGGAGCACGGGATCTAGGCATGCAGGCTTCAGTAGTTGCGGCACGTGGGCTCAGTAGTTGTGGCTTGCGGGCTCTAGAGCGCAGGCTCAGTAGTTGTGGTGCATGGGCTTAGTTGCTCCACGGCATGTGGGATCTTCCGGGACCAGGGCTTGAACCCGTGTCCCCTGCATTGGCAGGCGGATTCTTAACCACTGCGCCACCAGGGAAGTCCAATATATATATTTTTTGATGTGAACCATTTTTAAAGTTTTTATTGAGTTTGTTACAATTTTGCTTCTGTTTTTTGGCCCCAAGGCGTGTGGGATCTTAGCTCCCCAACCAGGGGTTGAACCTGCATGGGAAGGCGAAGTCTTAACCACTGGACCGCCAGGGAAGTCCCTCTGAAGCTGATTCTGATAAGTCAGGATTATGTGGTTAAACCCTAGAATAACCACTTAAAAAAAAATCTTTAAAAATACAGTGGAAAAATAAATAAATAAATAGTGGACAAATTATTAAAGAAATTTAAATGCTTCATTAGAAACTATTCACTTAATGCAAATCAAGTAGTAAAGGAGGAATAGAGAATTAAAAAAAACAAGAAAAACATAGAAAACAAAAAATAAAATGGAAGTTGTATCCCAAATAATTAGAGAAATGAAGTGGACAAATTCCTAAAATGAAACCAGCTACCAAAAGTGACTCAAGAAGAAAGATAATCTGAATAGACCTATAACAACTGAAAGAGTAAATTAACAATAAAAATACTACTCACAGTAAAAAACCCATGTGCTACCCACTAGTGGCCCAGGTGGCTTCACCACTGAATTCTACCAAACATTTCAAGATCAATAAATACCAATTCTTCACAAACGTTTCCAAAAAACTAGAAGAGGAGGGACCACATCCCAGCTCATTTTATGAGACCATCATTATCCTGATACTGAAACAAGACAAAGATAACACAATAAAACTAGAGATCAATATCTCTTATGAGTATGGAAGCCACAATCCTTAACAAAAATATTAGGAATCCAGCAACATATTAAAAAAACTATACTCCATAACCAAGTGAGATTTATCCCAGAAATGCAAGGTTGGTTTAACATCCAAAAATCAATTAATGTAATATATAATATCAATAGAACAAAAAGCA